CCTACCGCCCCCACACCGCCCCTTTTCGTTCTACCGCCCCCCTGAAAAATGAAATCGCCCCTGGGGGGCATTATTGCCCACGTTAAGAACCACTGGTCTAGATGGTCTGAGATATAGCATAAGACAAGTTGATATGCCTGCATTCGCTTATTCAGCATTTGTTAGTTACAGAGAAGGAGGAAGAATGAGGAAGGAAGTCAAACCACCCCACTTCTTGAATCAGTGTCGTCTTAGACGCGAAATGCTCACTTTTTTAAATTATTAAACCCAGGATTCTGAATTCTTTGTGTATTACTGTCTATATCAGTGTGGCAAAAATGGAACGCCGCTTAGCCTTGAGTCCTGGTTGTATGTATATACCTGGCTTTGCACACATGCTTCTTCGGACACTGGGAACATGTACATTCTGAAGCAGACGACGGAATCAATCTGCTTGGATTGCCTTGTCCCCATCAACATGAAGGGGAAGCTCAAACCCACAGAGACCGTGTCTCATTTCAAGGACAAAAATAAATGATACAAGACAGCCGGTATTCTCATGAGTCCATGGGTGTAAAATTTTAGCACTGCTCAGCAGAATTTAGCATCCGAAGAAATCTTTGGTCTCAGAAGAAAGGAAGGGAGAGAGGGAGGGAGGGATATGAAGCCAAGGATAATTTCCAAGGGTCAAACTAGAGATTAGGAGGAATGTGTATTTACTAACAGTTAATTAACCTGCCCTATCATAATGAGATTTCAGCACAGATAACATGCTTCAGATATGAGGTTTGGAAATTAAACTCATGTTTACCTGCCAATGACCAATCACAGGACAGAGCACGCTAAATGCAAAATAAGTGGGTAAGGAAAATCATATGCTGTGACAAATAGATTTTTTTTCAGCCTTTGAGATAGTACATGTTCTAAAAATATGCCGGGCCTATTGTCTAGGCATGTTTATTCAGAACTAATCCCCACAGTTATGTGGGGTTTAGTCCCTCGTAAGTGTGTTTGCAATCCAGATTGTTCTTTTGTTGGCAGCGGCAATCCACCAAGTACATTAAAAAATTGGAGGAGGAGGAGGAGAAAGCCATGTCGAATGTTATCTTGGAGAGCATATTTCTGAAGCGCTCCCAGCAGAAGAAAAAGACGTCTCCTCTGAACTTCAAGAAGCGCCTCTTCGTGCTGACTGACAGCAAACTCTCATATTATGAGTATGACTTTGAACGCGGGGTGAGTCCCATGGAAGAGAAAGCTAACAGGTTCATATTGAAAGGACCTGGTATCTGTTGACCATAACTCAAGAGCAGCTGGTTAGTTTAAAGGAAGGGACTTGTAGTTGAACACACCTGGAGGAATACTAGATTTAGATGGGGAAGACTGGTTTAGAGCATTCTTGTTTCCACTTTGCAGCGCCGAGGAAGTAAGAAAGGGTCAGTGGATACTGAGAAGATTATTTGTGTGGAGGCTGTGATTCCAGAGAAGAACCCTCCCCCCGAACGCCAGATCTTGGTGGTAAGACATTTATGCATCTTCATTTCCTTTGACTAGACTTCCGCTCATCTGCCACTGAATATTTGCTGCTAAGCTTTTGTGTCCCATTTTTGGACGGCATTGCATTGTAGCATTACAAAAGGATGAAGAGGGAGCAGTTTGTCGTCTTCCAGATGCTGTTAGACTGCAGCTCTTGCGCTAGTGTGAGGAATGCTGGGAGTTTTCGTCCAGCAACATGACGAAGATCCTACTTGGCCCATCCTGCAGTGTAGAAACCTTGGCCTACGGCTGCTGTTGGACAAGGTGGTTGCCCTGTCCAGAGTACAATGATTTCTCCTCAGTCCCAACTACTTGTGAAGAATTCTTGGCTCAGCCTCAATGGAACAATACCTTAAAACAGTGCTTCCCAACCTTGACTCTACAGATGTTCTTAAACTAAAACTCCAAGAAGCCTTTACTACTAGCTGTGCTGGCCAGGATTTCTGGGCGTTGTAGAACATCTGGGGACCCAAGGTTGGGAACCATTGCCTTAAATAATGAGTATTTTGCATGTGGGAGAGGCAGTATGGCGCTGTCGTTAGTTCTGGGCCTTGTGGGTGCTCGTTTCTAATCCTTCTAATACCCACAGAACAGTTAAACTCCGTGGGTGTCTCTGAGGAAGCCTGACCTACCTCATGAGGTTGTTGAGGGAATAACGTGGGGAAGAGGGTCACTTAATTGGCCTTGAGCTCACAGAAGGAAAGGCAGAATAGTCATAACAAGCTGTAAATGAGCTTTGAGAGTCACATAGAACTTTTCTACAGAGAACATTTTGTGCCTCGAATGTTGAGCTGTCTGTAATCTATTGCATTAATTACTTGCTGAATGAATTGCCCATCTTTTCCACCTACAGAGAAAAGGAGAGGATTTAAATGAGCCGGAACAAATCTCCATTATTGAGCGGTTTCCCTACCCTTTCCAGGTATGCTATTGCCATCATCTTATCCCAGACAGATGGATCATAATGGACCAGTGGGGGTTGGCAAGTCCATCTTCCGTAGGTTTCATTGATTCAAATGGACTTTCTCTAACCGTCACTTACTTTAAGTAAGCAATTTGAACCGATTACACAGGAATTGACTCACCAAATCCCCACTGATTCAATGGGCCTACTTTAGTTGGATTGACTACACTAAGCAACAGGATTTTGACCTTCTCTCAACAGCTTTTAGCATTCAGATTTTTAAAAAACAACAGCTAAAAAGCAACCATTTTAGTTACCTTTGTGAAACAGGAAATATAGGTTTTAAAAATTGAAGCAATGACAGCAACTCACTGCTGCAGTCGTTGTGAACTATAATGGAAACAAACTGCTTCTTAAAAGTCATTTTCCAAGCTGTGGCTTGGACTTGATCAAGAATAGTGAAGCTGTCATGCCAGTTATTTTAGACTACAACTCCCATAGTTCTTTATCACTGGTAATACACAATGGGAGTTCTGGGAGCTGAAGTCAAAAATCTCTGGCATGCCAAAACTTCACCACCTCTGGACTGGCTGGTGGTTCTAATTCCCGTAGAACAACCACCCTTACCTTACCCAGTCTCTTTGGAGGACAAGCCCCTTCTAGCACGGGAAAAAGATGCCATGTTCTATGCATATTCTATGCATTCCCTATTCTTGTATGCCTTTCCCCCTCTTTCTCCTAGGTGGTATATGATGAAGGACCCCTTTACGTCTTCTCTCCCACAGAGGAGTTACGAAGCCGATGGATCCAGCAGCTAAAAAGTGGTAAGCTGTTCTGCGAGTCTGCATAGGTGAAAGAAATATGCTGGCAGGTACTCCATTTTCTTCTTGTTGATTTGATTCAATAGGAGTGTTGGAAACAAGCAAAAATGGACAGACAGAAAGATAAGAGAGGCACCCTGTCATTTGGTGGGCTATCTTAAAGAATGCCAGGGTAATCCTGTATCTCAGAAGGAAGCCTCATAGGGTCCATTTCAGCGTGTAGTTCTAAGATTGCATGCACACGGCAGGCTACTGATCATGCCACCTGGGGGATTTTAAGAACTGTTATTTTTTTAAAAGGGTAATATATTTCGTCTCTTCATAGGATTCTTTCCTTTCTAAGCTGAGGCCAGCGGATGAGCTGAAGGGGAAGAGCTGTTTCTTCTTTGTTCAGTCTGATTTCAAGGAACTGTATACAATTCCTTGAAGTCTTTTCAAAATGGTCTTTCTAGAAGACGACCGCTCTAGAAAGCAGTAGGGGATGGAGGATCATGGCCTTGCGGGGTGGGGAGGAATGGGTTAGGCGTGCTCTTAATATAGCGGGTGCCACACAAAACACAGCCCTCCTTTCCCTCCCGCTGCAGTGATCCGCTATAACAGCAACGTGGTGCAGAAGTACCACCCCTGCTTCTGGACCGACGGGCAGTACCTCTGTTGCTGCCAGACAGCTAAGATGGCCATGGGATGCCAAATCCTGGGAGGCAAGAACAGAAGTAAGCTCACCACTTCCAGCTTCTCTTTCTCTTAACTTCCTTGGACTTCAGTTTCTGTTTTCCTCCATTTTTTTTAATGGGACATGTATTGGGTGGTCCTCCTTCCCCAAACATTTTTTTTATCATGGTTGAACTTCAACTCCCAGAATCTGCATGCATTTCCTTCTTGGTACCTGGGAGATTCCTGGGTTTTTTAGCCCAGAATGTCACTTTTGCAAGCTTTGGTCTTTCCCCATCGTAGGAATTCATGATGGTGGGCTGATGTAAAAAGAGAGGGGGAGAAAGACCTTTGTAACAGCTCTAGCTCATGCACCCAGAGCTGTAACTAGGGTGGATCGATGGGGGGCACCAAGTTTGAGATGTGAATCTAATACTCAGAAGAATTAACAGCAACATCTCCCATCTCTATTCCTTTTTTCCCCTTTTGTTTTTGGTGGACCACTTACCTTCTCCTCCTACTTGCACCCTTCGCTCCTCCTGGCCAACTGGGTGGGAGACCGTGTTGCTTGCACTAACGAGTAGTCACGCCACTTCGTTATGTACCTTGAACTTCTGGTTTCTTTCTTTTTGAAGGTTTCAGAAGTGGCCGTTCTCAAAAGCCTGACAAACCTCTACCTCCGACGCCAGAGGAGACCGAGGTAGCGAACAACACCAGGCATTGGGAGAGCTTGGAAAAATGTCCTTTTTTTGGGTTACGTTTTTTGGGGAAGCTCCCGTCCAAAATGAGAACTTTCCCGAGCGTTGGGCGTTGGCGGTCCTTGCCAAGGACTTGGGGAGGAGGTGGAGGGAAAGGCCTGAGAGAAGCCCCTTGAAATGCCTCTTTGCTTTTTCCACTTCGTCTCAAACCTTCTCCAAGATGATGAAGAAGCAGTTGCCCCCGATGCCAACGGAGAGCCTCTCCTCAAAGACAAAGAAGGTCGTGGCCTTGTATGACTACCAGCCGATGAAGGAACAGGACCTGCAGCTCCAGAAAGGTGAAGAGTACCTGGTGCTGGAGGAGAGTAACGAGTCCTGGTGGAGAGCTCAGAACCAAGATGGGTAAGCGGGCCAGGGCAGAGAGTGAGCCATAGGAAAGTGGAGCAAATCATGCCGTTCGTTCGTTC